TCCTTGTAGCTACTACCTTCCTTCCGTGCAGTCCTGACGTTGCGATATTTATTTGCAAATATTAACCTTCAGGCAAGCGTAAAATGCAAAGAAGTGTAACTTTTGCGTGCGAACCTTTAATCAACTGCTATCGATGATCTTGTTTTGCTTGTAATGGGTTTAAATCAACTAGTTGTTGTTTTGTAAATATAAATTCAATTAATGCTGTCACGTATAAATTCATTTTTGATTTTACACCATCAACTTTCAATAAATCCACATCAACACCAGTAGTGGGATTTGTAAACATCTAGAATAATCAAATTAAGTTTCTGTAGAACAAATACTTTTAAATAATTAAACTTACGATTGTTGTCTCAAACGTTTTTTTATCATCTGGTTGTTCCATCTCAGGATCTTCCAACGGTACATATATCTAAAGTTGAAGCATTTATTGTGAGGCAAGAGCAAGTTGCTTCGTACAAGACGAGACGAAACATGTATTTCAATTCTCCTCTCCTCAAGGTAAGGCAATACAGAATGGTCTGCGTTTCATACCTTTCTTTTACATAAAGATTTTTGTATCTTTTTCTGATTTTCAAATAACATTTTTAACATTTTTTCTTGCCGTTCTTGATTAATTAACAATTGTTTCAATACTTTTCTTCCACTTTCATATTCGATAATAATGACTGTTTTAATAAGACTGCAAGTTCCTTAGACTGAAAATAAAGTATATTAAGTATTAGTAATGTTAAGTATTAGTAGTTTTGGTTCAAGAATTGAGCGCATTTATAATGAACGTTACCTGTTCAACATCAGTATCGTCATCATTGTTTTTAATAGTGGTATTTGTATGAAGGAGTTTTGTCCCAGTTAATTTTGGTGTTTTGAGAATTGTTATTGAAGATGGTGTTTCCAGTATACTAGCAGCTGTGAAGTTGTTATTTGTTTTTCTTGTGGGAGGATGATCTGCATCACTGTCGTCATCGTCCGTTATTATTAATTGTGAAAGGCATCTTGATGTTAATTTTTTTGTTGCTTGGTGTGGACGTTTTTGTTGAGCATGATTTATCCCTGCTGATTCTCGTTTTTTATTTTTTTGTTGTTGTAATTGTGGTGGTGGTCGTAATTGTTCATCATTGAAATTATAAACCATTTGGTTTATGGCAGCCATATTCTCAACAGCACCTAAAAAGAAACAGACATAATGAATTACGTAAACTTTGTCTAACTGAGAAGTTTGTGTAACTTCTCAAAGGGGTGCTTGTCGTAAATATTGTCGATGTTTAAACATTCTACAAAATAAAAACGGATTCGCATAATAAATAAAGTTATTTAAATGTATTTTTTTGTTAATATCTTCTGTTTCTTTATTACCGCTTTTTTGGACAGTTCTCAGCGGTCAATGCTGATAAGCCTTTGATTTCTTCCACATGAATCTCACGACATCCGCTCGATTTTTTAACAGCTTCTTCTGCAGCTTTTAAATAACCAACATGTGTCCGTGGAGTATAATTGTTTTGATTAGCAAACTTAATGTTTGCTATAGAAAATTAGTAAGATATTAAATTTTCATCATGCGCTTAGTTTCTTTGGTATATCTTGACGTTTCAGGCAAAAATCCTGTTAGCGTGGTCGATCACAAACAGAACATGGGAATTTTAATGTGGAATATTTTTTTAATTGTTTAAAAGCAAAATTTGTAGAAATGTTCCCTCGTCACAAAGAATTGTATGGTACTACTTTTATTGAAAACAGATCAAGTTTTCACTTCATGTACGGCACAGAGAAAACTGAACGACCTCTCATACATACCCTGGTCGACTCTCCCCCTCAAAGTGATACAGCGACATTACCGCGAAGACTTGTTTATTGGAAAAACCGAATACATCAGGCCGGTTTTGTATTTTCTACATCATGTTTTCAAACTTAACTGAAGTTATGTGGTGGCTAGTCTTTATCTGATATAGCCACTGATTTCTAGTTTCCCATCATGACAACACGTTTTGTGTGAAACTACTAAGGGTGTTCCAAAAGTAATGGCAACATGCTTTATTACCATTTAAAAATTAAAAACTTTCAAAAACTAAGCAATGCATAATAAAGTATATTCAATAAGCTTTC